ATCGAATTCCAAGATAGGCAGTTTGGTAGTGCAGCAACGATAGTTCGAAGTACATGTGGCGAAACGGAAGTGTTCCCTGTGCGGGTAGCAATCCACCAATGATCTGAATTGAGCCCATTTCTGTTTTCGATTGTGACAGATGCAATAACTGAGGATTTGCAGAAAGCAGCCTCATGCTGCGTGCTCTATGGAGATGACACTGTGCTGCGCGGCGATAGCGGAGATTCGCTCGAAGCAAAAACCTATGCATATGGAACGGTCTTTGAGAAGAACAGATTTTGACTCTGCAAAGGTAAGTCAGAATATAAGGCGGGCTATTTCAGTAGGGAGAACAGACTGTCAGCCACCAATTCAGTGAATATCGTGAGGCACAGTGAAGCGTGAAATCTCAAACCTAAGATTTCGATAATCTTGTAATATAAGACGGCAACTGACAGAAAGATTACATATTGGTCTGATAACAAATGGAGAGAAGTCAGCGGAGTACTGTATGACAAGAAGATGCCCATCAAATTAAACAGGAAGGTTCATAGAACAGTTATAAAACTGGTGTTTTTCTACTGAGCGGAATGTTTCGCTACTCTGAAGAGACATAAGGAGTAGCTTAAATTTGTAGAAATGCGAATCCTCAAGCAGATGTTCAGTGACAGCAAAATGACCACATCATTCAGCTTCATAAGAGGCACTGCGTAGCATCAGTTGCAGAAAAGTTTATCGAACGCAAGCTCTTTTGGTTCGGTCACGTGAAAGGAAGACCCATACAGTACGTTGGAAGAGTAGGCCAAACAGTGATACCGCCGGGAACAGAAGGAAAATCCCAAAGAAAACCCGGCTCGATGTCGTCAAGGACGATATGAAACTGCCATCAATGAACGACGATTTAGCCAAAGACAGAAAATGTGAGGGCGGTTGATTCGATTGGCGGACCCCTACTAAAAGTAACATGATGGGGAAAAGGAAATTTGTAGACTATCCCAACGGACTGAACACGTATAAATGAACAGATGGGCGCAGACCTCCGTGATTACCTGAACACCACTCCCTTAGTATGCCATAATTGCCTGCCAGTAATGTTTCCTCATGTTAATTCTTGTTACAGTCTAAGTTATCTATTGCTCAAACTTCACTCTAAGTTTCACATGATTAAATTTGCTCCCAACTCAAGCCATGGTCCAGTACCAGCAAAAGTTCATGATCCACAGCGGAGCGAGGTTGGGAGAAGTATAGTTGTTATATACCCAACGGTGGTTCGGTACCTTGTGATGCAGTGGTCTTTGTGGATCTTTTTCAGATTCAACAATGACCTTTCATCCCTTGGTCTGACTAAGCTGTGTTAACAAAAATTGAAAATATCTCTTTTAATATTTTAAACGTTTATGAACATTAAAAACGACAAATTCGCTAAAAATTTCTGTTGGAAGGTACCTGTCTTGCACAATAGT